TAGCCGCGGCAAAACAAGACTTCGCGAAAACTATGAGTCTGGATGCTGCTTAAATGGGGAAGCTAAGGGGAAACACCTGTACCAGCAATCAGTCCCAGGTACGGGGTGTATGGGAAATGGAGTCCATGAAAGCTAGTACTCAGGAGAGGGTGCCCTCCGGTGGCGGTCAGAGAGAGCCACAGAGGCCTGATTTGTGACACAATCGTATGTTATTATGAATACATCATGCAGCAAAGAAGCCAGATTGAGTTTCATTTATTATCTGGGGCAGGCCTTTATTCATTCTAGCTGCAATAATTCCCGATAATAATTTATAATTAGTGTTAAAAAGCATAATGGGTCTTTAATTATCTAACAATCTTTTGTCTCTGCCATGTTTAGGAATAAGTATTATTAGGCCTTGCTTCATGGTTGTCATTAATTTGTTCTTTACTATGCATTCTTGAATTGCCTTAAATAACAAATGTCTGTTATATTTCGAAAATAATTTATAAAATTTGGCTGTAAGACCGTCTGTACCCAGGAATTTATTCAATGATAATAATCAATATTCAATAATCACATCATCCAGTTCTTCAATTCTTAAATCTGACTCACAAAGTTCTTTAAATTAATCTTCAATCTTAGGTATGAAGTCTTTAATATTATTTAGAAAATTTGAGGAATCTAGTTGGGAATATGCAGAAGTGTAGTGATTATTATAAAATGCAAAAACTGTCTTCTCAATAGTTGTATTATCCTTACACTGCAATATCAATAGTCTGTCTTTATCTTCAATGTTTAATTCTGCCTGATGTCTTAGGCAAATTCTCTAAATGAGTAATCCACGAGCCAGCAGTCAAACCTGGATTTACAGGTGTTATTAGTGTTGTGGCCGAGCAGCCACCTGGGATTTTAAAGGAACCGGAAGTTCGTGTTTTAAGGACTCCAGGAAGCCATGATTAAAAGAAAACCAAAGTTTAATCACCTTCTTTGTGACTATGCACCCAACCATATACAAGTTAGCCAGCTCAAGAGTAAAACTGAGCCTGCAGGGGGCACTAATGCTCTACTCGGTTTAACACATACATAACATATTATCATACTTACAATCTTCCTGAATCATAAGCTAAGGCATATGGCACTTACACAACTCAATAAACTCAAACCATACTTTTGATGTTTCTTAACATTAAATACACCACATTCCTCCCCTGAAAATACAACATCCAAAACAAATACACTCTGTTTTTGTATTATTATTTTTTTACAAATCCAACAACAGAAAAACAAAACAAATACACTGTTTTTGTTTTTTACAGGTTTAACCTTTGTGGAACTCTTTTTACCCGACAGGGTCGAGTATGAACAGACTCGTTTGATACATCTGGTTCAACCATTGAATTTTCTCTCTCTCTCAACACAGGAGTTTCCTCCAACATCCTTCGTGAAGTGTCACACAAATCTTCTGCTGAAAGAGCTTTCGCATCCTGTTCAGTAGTCCTCAATTTTGTTGCTCTTAACTGATCTACATGTTTTTTGTAGGACTTTCCCTCCACCCCCACCAGATAAGTAACTGGACCTAATGGTAGAGAGAGAGAGAGAGAACAATCGGGGAAAAACAAATAACAAATCCAACAACAGAAAAACAAAACAAATACACTGTTTTTGTTTTTTACAGGTTTAACCTTTGTGGAACTCTTTTTACCCGACAGGGTCGAGTATGAACAGACTCTTTTGATACATCTGGTTCAACCATTGAATTTTCTCTCTCTCTCAACACAGGAGTTTCCTCCAACATCCTTCGTGAAGTGTCACACAAATCTTCTGCTGAAAGAGCTTTCGCATCCTGTTCAGTAGTCCTCAATTTTGTTGCTCTTAACTGATCTACATGTTTTTTGTAGGACTTTCCCTCCACCCCCACCAGATAAGTAACTGGACCTAATGGTCTTTCGATCTCTCCTAACTTCCACTTCTCCTCTCCTCCCCTGAACTGTTTCACCAGTACCATTTGTTGTGGATAAAATACTCTCACACGAGCTAACTTAGATTTTTGTACTTGTTTTTCTTGCATTTGAGAAGAAAACTTAGGTTTTATCTGAGACAATCTTGTTCTAACCTTTCTCTTCAGAAACAATTCAGATGGAGTTTTTCCCGTCACAGTCAAGGGAGCATTTCTGTAACTGAATAAAAACCTGTCAATACAATGTTGAAGCGTGATGTCCAACTCTTTTTGTTTTTCCAAAGACTGTTTAAAGGTTTGCACCAGTCGCTCCACTAACCCATTCGAGGCAGGATGGTACACTGCCGATTTGACATGTTTAATTCCATTCATTTCCAAAAAGGTTTCAAACTCTCTGGCCACAAATTGAGGTCCATTATCTGAAACAATTACCTTAGGTAATCCATAATTGGCAAACATACTTCGCATGACCTCAACGGTTGCTTTGGCAGTAGTATTAGTCATCAACTTGATTTCTGGCCAGCGTGAATAAGCATCAATGGTCAATAAAAACTGATGCTTCCCTTTTTCACAGAAATCAACATGTACTCTCTCCCACGGATATTCAGGCCATTTCCAAGGATGTACAGGTACGGTGTTAGGCATCTTTTGATGTAATGCACATACCTTGCAATGACTAATCATATTTTCAATATCCTCATCCAATTTAGGCCACCAAAAATGGCTTCTGGCTACTGCCTTACTCTTGACCATCCCTAAATGTGACTCATGTAGTTCTTTTAAGAGTTGATGTCTCAATGAGTCTGGTACGATTACCTGAAACCCCCACAATAGACAATCAGCCTCTACTGTGATCTCGTCACGTCTATACCAATAAGGTTTTAGTTTTTCCTCTGGCATTCTTTTGGGCCAACCATTGAGTGTGAATGACTTCACTTTCATTAGAACCTCGTCTTTATTGGTTTCTGTTTTTATGTCTTTTTGATCTATCGGAATCACCTCAATAAATGAGACCTTGAACTCTGCATTACACATAAGCCCCGTCAACCCCAAAGGTAATCTCGAAAGGCCATCAGCATTTGCGTGTTCCGCAGACGACTTGTATCTGATATCATATTGGTAAGCCGATAAAAGTAATGCCCACCTCTGCAACCTAGCGGCGGCTAAAGCAGGCACTCCAGTGTTCGGCCCGAAAATCTTAACCAAAGGCTGGTGATCGGTGATGAGCAGAAATTTTCTACCATACAAATAGTCCCTAAATTTCTGCACCCCAAAAATGATAGCCAAGGCTTCCTTTTCAATTTGGGAATAGTTTATTTCCGATTTACTAAGGGTGCACGATGCATATGCAATGGGTTTTTCCATACCATCTGGCATTCGATGCGAAATCACTGCCCCCACTCCATATGCCGATGCATCACACGCTAGCAAAATGGGAAGTTGGGGATCGAAATGTGTCAACACAGTTGATGACGTCAACAGCTTTTTAGCTTCTTTAAACGACTCTTGACAGGCCTTTGACCACTGCCAAGGTTGGTCCTTGTGTAATAGTTCAGTCATGGGTTTAATTACGGTTGACAAGTTTTCCATAAATTTGCCGTAGTATGAAAGCAACGCTAAAAATGCTCTGAGCTCAGTCACATTTTTAGGTGCTGGGGCTTTTTCAATAGCCTCGACCTTCTCTGGAACCGGATGGACTCCTTCCTGATCAATTCGGTGCCACAAATAGGTTACTTGAGGTTGACAGAAAGCACATTTGTCTCTATTCACTCTAATACCTCTGTCTTGCAACCTTTTTAATACCTGTTCGACATTCTTCCAATGCTCACTTTCATTTTTACCAGTGATCAGAATGTCATCTAAATAACAGACTACATTTGGCAGACCCTGTAACGTCTGATCCATAATGCTTTGAAAAATCGCTGGTGAACTAGACACACCATAGGGCAAACGATTCATGTGATACAATCCTCTTGGAGTGTTTATTGTCAAGTATGGCTTAGATTGCGGATCTAACTCGACTTGCTGGTATGCCTGAGTTAAGTCTAATTTTGTAAAGTATTTACCGCCTGCCAATGACGCAAACAGGTCCTGAGGTTTTGGCAATGGATATTTATCAACAGCTAACTAGGGGTTGATTGTGACCTTGTAATCGCCACAAATACGCACGTCACCATTTGTCTTTGGTATACACACGATGGGTGCTGCCCATTCACTGTACTCAACCGGCGTAATAACACCCTGCTTTTCCAACATTTGTAACTGTTTGTCCACTGCGTCTCTCATGGCATACGGAACCGTTCTGCTCTTGCAAAATTTTGGAATGGCATTTTCAACAATTTGCAATTTGGCGCATACCCCTGAAATTACTCCTTGGTCAGCGTTAAACACCCATGAGTATTTCTCCAACAGCGCACTAACTGGATCCGCCACATAATTTACTCTCGACCAGTCTAGCGGTAAGCGCTGAATCCAGTTTCTTCCCATGAGGCTTGGCCCTTCACCCTTAGACACCAGTAATACCAGTTTTTCTGACCGTTCCTTACATGTCACTGTAACCGGAATTTGACCTAACAGTGGAATTTGCTCTGAGGAGTAGGTCCTCAAAGTTACATCACAAGGCTGAAGTTTACATTTTTTAAACCTTTTTCTGTACAAAGTCTCCGAAATGATGGACATGGCTGCTCCTGTATCAACCTCCATCTTTACCTTAACACCATTACATCGGATCATTACCATGTATGGTTTTACATACTCACTGTTCCCTTTTAATGCAAACAGTCCACAGTCCTTGTCCACATCTGACTGCTGCCACTCAGCCTCCACAGTGGGCTTATTATCCTTACTGGAGTCTGAGTCCGGTGGTCGTACTAACTGATCTGCGCTCCCTTCATCCTTTGACGTATTGGGCGTCAGCTTCTTTCTTGACCACGTCGCGATCTCTCCCTCGTTGACTCCATCAGTAGAAATGTATTTCGTCTCGCGTTCCCAAAAGGCTTATTCGCAGCTCGCGATTTGGAGAAACCTTTCTGTGGCGTGGCATTTTTACAGGCACCCTCTAAATGTCCTTTCTTTCCACAGGCTCGGCATTGCAAGTCTTTGTATTTGCAACTGGATGCAGCATGCCCCTTTCCAAGATACCGGTAACAGGGGGTTTGCTCGCCCTTTTCGCGACTGCTTTTCCATGTTTTTTTTCCTCCGCTCCTGTGTGCTCTCTAGCCAGCTTGGCATAACTCACACTGTCGGTTCTGAGTGGCGCGTGCTGAAAGGCTTTTAAACTCGTCACAGTACATTCAAAATTGTTCACTATGTCCAATACCTTAGGCCAGGTCAGCGGTTCGCCATAAGCGGCACTCAAAAGCCGAGCTCGTAAATCCTTGTTGCATATACCGTAAACGAGCTGGTCCCGCAACTGTTCTTCCAATGAAACGCCGAACTCGCATGTGGACGCTAATCCCTTTAATTCAGCCACATATTCGGACAGGGATTCCCCATTCAGCTGCTTCCGTGCACGGAAACTATATCTTTCACTCAAGACATTTTTCTTGGGTACATAGAAGTCTCTGTGCGCTTTCAAAATGTCGGCTAAGGATGATTCTGACGGTCTTTTCGGTGCCAATAAATCCGTGAGCAATGAAAAGGTCTTTGCACCGACCACAGACAGAAAAACAGCTCGTCGCTTGTCTTCTTCAATTCCGTTGGCCTCCACAAACTGTGCAAACCACTCTTCATAATCCGTGAAGCTCTCGCTAGCTTCTACAAAACACAGGCCCGATTCCGTGCTAAACACCGCCATCTTCGCTTGCTTCACATCCTACTCACTTTGAGCCCCCTTTTTCCTTAAAATCCCATCCTCATCGCCAAATTGTTGTGGCCGAGCAGCCACCTGGGATTTTAAAGGAACCGGAAGTTCGTGTTTTAAGGACTCCAGGAAGCCATGATTAAAAGAAAACCAAAGTTTAGTCACCTTCTTTGTGACAATGCACCCAACCATATACAAGTTAGCCAGCTCAAGAGTAAAACTGAGCCTGCAGGGGGCACTAATGCTCTACTCTGTTTAACACATACATAACATATTATCATACTTACAATCTTCCTGAATCATAAGCTAAGACATATGGCACTTACACAACTCAATAAACTCAAACCATACTTTTGATGTTTCTTAACATTAAATACACCACAACTAGGTTTAAACCAGGAATATTGTTTTACTCCTGGATTTAAACCTCCAAATATCTCAGGTGATTTTTATTCATAAACTCCCCTATTGTATGGTTAAAGTGGTAGCTGTCAAATTTAGTGGGCCATCTGTCTTCCCATTCGTCAGGTGTCATATTCCAATCACCTCCCATTAGAATAAAGTCTGTAGGATAAACTCTTTTGAGCTCTGATAAAATGTTTGTAATTTCTTCAAGCATTGGTTTATTTTGGGCAACAGTTCTATGACCATATACGTTAGTTATTATGAAAAAACAACCATCGATTTTTAAAACCACCATCAGCCAGTGACCTTGGCTATCTGTCCTGTATGTTATTATATCACCTGGAAACCTGCCAACTGCATCACCAGCAGGCTTATTGGTCCCATGACTAAACAGTATTCGATCACCCCATTGGTTAGACCAGAACTTAACATCCAATTCGGAAGAATGAGTTTCTTGTAATAGCAGACATTGTGGTTTTCGCCCTTTACAAAATAAAAATAGTGCTTTTCTTTTGACCAAATCTTTTAGACACCTCACGTTTAACGAAGCAAATTAGATTGAACAATTGAACATTGCTGAAGATAATGAGATAACTATAAAACGAAGAAACTAAAAGAAAAAAGCAAACAGTAAGAACTTATTTCAAAGCTTATTTACGCTGATTAGCAAATACAAAAATAGTCCCATATCCTCTTAACACACTCCTTTTATATTTAGTGTCAGTAGATCAAACCTTTCCTTCGTTTAACCAATTCGACGACCCTCTATGTATCCGTGCGGTCTGCGGTAGCAAGCACGCTTTCCATCCCGACGAGCCTGTTCAATCTGCATCCACAGTTTTTGCCTTGCCTCTCTAGCGGTAGCATCTCGGCGAGACGGACGCCTTTCTGTCTGCACACTGCAGGACCGTGCACAGACATTTTGAGGGGCAATGGTCCAAAACCAAAAAAGGGGCACTAGGGGGGTGGGTGCTTGTTAATACAAATATCCAGTTGTTACATATATACAATTAAAAGAGAAGACAGCACACTCTGTAATAATTTCAGACTTTATTGTAGATGTTTTGATAAGAGTGGGCTCTCCCTCACTCTCTGAGCCAGCTTCTGCCTCGTCTTCAATGGAAGTAGGGGAGAGTGGGGTAAGTTGAGCCAGTGGGTAGTTGACCCACCCCCTGTATCTTGGCAACTGTACACTTTTACTGTCATGTGACCATGTATTTTGGAACCACCAATCATTTATGCCAGACTGTGAAAAGGAGAAACACATGAGAGGAGTGGAAGGCACCCATTTACTTTAAAAACTTGTTTTGGCTTGTTAAAGTAACATTTTAGCATAACAGATTATATGGTTGTTACATCAAAGCAAATGTATCCAGGTCTAAAAATATTTATGATACATAGGGGATTTAGCAACATATAAAACAATGCAAATCATTTAGCCAAATATTAGCCTGAACTGGTAAGCTACAGTAGCTATTTTTTTTCCAAAATGGCAGCTATGGGGCAAAGTGAGACAAATGCTGTGGGGTAAATTGAGTAAGCATTTTATCTTACCCCTCCATAAGACACTGTAGTTAAGTTAAATCTCTGAATTATAAACTGGTATTTTAATGTGATATTATTAGTTTAGTTTATCATATATACATATTATTTGTAGTTTATTTGATATATCACACATTATAATCAGATACATCTTTCCACCTGTAGTCCCTACCCTAATGGCCAACAAACTTAGTCTGTTTTTAGGAAGGCTACAACTTTGGAGTTCAACATATTGTTTCAGAAATGCAAACAATTAAATATTGAAATTTTAACTTAATTTGGTTGGTTTTATGTTGATAAAGTTAACTTAATGAAAAGAAATATGACTGTTTGTAAAAGGAAATTACTAAATTAGTTTTTAAATTATTATTTATTTCACATGGGTTTGAATCAGATTTGGTCAGATGGTAATTTTACACCCAGATGAGTGTAAATCTATTTTTTTTGTCTACAAAGTGTGCCAACAACAGCGAATTTTGTGTTATTTAAATTAGATCTGATCGGGAACAGTCATTTGATTAGACATTCTAATTTTAAAAATGTGGATATTTTGTTGTTATTTTAGAAGACCGACAGAAATACAAAAACAAACTACCAAATGACAAATTCAGCGAATCATCAACTGACTGTAATGTGGCTTGTAATGCATCCACCGGTTAATGCAACGAGCTTCTGAAGCAGGGGGTAAGTTAGTTTTGTTTTTGATATTCCTGACACATTCAGCGATAAACGGCAATGACTCCAAAACGACTTGCCCTAAAAAAACTCTAAACAGCATTACCAATTAAAGGGCTGAGCTGATAATATTTCACAACCTTCTTATTAATTATTTTCGCTCGATATAATAAGCACTGCCACGCAGTTGCCGTCGCAATGTGCAATAAGCCGGGAGAGCTCGCTCTCTGCGGATGCTTACGACAAGGGACCGTGGTGAAAGTGTAGTTTTTCTTCGTTATTTCCTATAGCTCAGTGTAATAGTGTTTTTGTAATAGCTTTTTTGTTAAATGGCCTATAGACATGAGACCAGTGTCAATCAATAGAGGGAGACAGTGGACATTTTTCACAACCTTCCTTTTTACCTACTGGTAGAAAAGGGAATTGCATGTCCAAAATTAACCTTCTTTTTGTAATAACTTTCGTCAGCAGGAAGATAGAGACATGAGATCAGAGTCTTTGAATAGAGGGGGACTGTGGACATCTTTCACAACCTTCCATTTTACCCCTACTGGTAGAAAAGGGAATTGCATGTCCAAAATTAACCTTCTTTTTGTAATAACTTTCGTCAGCAGGAAGATAGAGACATGAGATCAGAGTCTTTGAATAGAGGGGGACTGTGGACATCTTTCACAACCTTCCATTTTACCCCTACTGGTAGAAAAGGGAATTGCATGTCCAAAATTAACCTTCTTTTTGTAATAACTTTCGTCAGCAGGAAGATAGAGACATGAGATCAGAGTCTTTGAATAGAGGGGGACTGTGGACATCTTTCACAACCTTCCATTTTACCCCTACTGGTAGAAAAGGGAATTGCATGTCCAAAATTAACCTTCTTTTTGTAATAACTTTCGTCAGCAGGAAGATAGAGACATGAGATCAGAGTCTTTGAATAGAGGGGGACTGTGGACATCTTTCACAACCTTCCATTTTACCCCTACTGGTAGAAAAGGGAATTGCATGTCCAAAATTAACCTTCTTTTTGTAATAACTTTCGTCAGCAGGAAGATAGAGACATGAGATCAGAGTCTTTGAATAGAGGGGGACTGTGGACATCTTTCACAACCTTCCATTTTACCCCTACTGGTAGAAAAGGGAATTGCATGTCCAAAATTAACCTTCTTTTTGTAATAACTTTCGTCAGCAGGAAGATAGAGACATGAGATCAGAGTCTTTGAATAGAGGGGGACTGTGGACATCTTTCACAACCTTCCATTTTACCCCTACTGGTAGAAAAGGGAATTGCATGTCCAAAATTAACCTTCTTTTTGTAATAACTTTCGTCAGCAGGAAGATAGAGACATGAGATCAGAGTCTTTGAATAGAGGGGGACTGTGGACATCTTTCACAACCTTCCATTTTACCCCTACTGGTAGAAAAGGGAATTGCATGTCCAAAATTAACCTTCTTTTTGTAATAACTTTCGTCAGCAGGAAGATAGAGACATGAGATCAGAGTCTTTGAATAGAGGGGGACTGTGGACATCTTTCACAACCTTCCATTTTACCCCTACTGGTAGAAAAGGGAATTGCATGTCCAAAATTAACCTTCTTTTTGTAATAACTTTCGTCAGCAGGAAGATAGAGACATGAGATCAGAGTCTTTGAATAGAGGGGGACTGTGGACATCTTTCACAACCTTCCATTTTACCCCTACTGGTAGAAAAGGGAATTGCATGTCCAAAATTAACCTTCTTTTTGTAATAACTTTCGTCAGCAGGAAGATAGAGACATGAGATCAGAGTCTTTGAATAGAGGGGGACTGTGGACATCTTTCACAACCTTCCATTTTACCCCTACTGGTAGAAAATGGAATTGCATGTCCAAAATTAACCTTCTTTTTGTAATAATTTTTTACATCAGGGAGACAAGGACATGACACCAGTGTCAATCAATAGAGAGCGACAGCGGACATCTTTTACAACCTTCCATTTTACCCTACTGGTATAAAAGGTAATTGCATGCCCAAAATTTACCTTCTTTTTGTAATAACTTTTGTCAGCAGAAAGATGGAGGCATGAGACCAGTATCAATCAATAGAAGGGGACAGTGGATATTTTTCACAACCTTCCAAAATTAAGATTATTTTTGTAATAACTTTTTACATCAGGAAGACAGAGTCATGAAACCAGTGTCAATCAATAAAGGGGGATAGTGGACATTTTTCACAACCATTGTTCTACTCTAGTGACTGATTAGAGAATTGCATGTTCACAATTAGGGCCCTATCCACTAGAGCCGCAGGGCCCTATTGTTGTTCTAACGATTATTATTATGTTTATTTTTATTTGCCAAGGTTTTGGAGTCTTTTGGGGCCCTTAACAAAAATTTTGACCATTCCAAATCATT